TCCTGGTGTTGCTTGCAGACTAAAGGGCTCTGCAGGGAGTGTACAATCTGGAGCCTCTGCAGTCCATCTGCAAAGAACCAGCCTACACCACGGTGGGTTCAGTTCTGCCTCTCTGCCTTAGGGAGCAGCCTGCTTTGTCTCTCTCTGTATTTGGCTGTGGTGTGTTAGAGTTTTGGAGTCTTAGAAATAAAGCAGTGTTTCATTGCAACCTTTCAGGAAGAGTATTTATATTTTGTTTCTAACTCTCCATGTGTATGCTCTGAATTAAAAATTTGTAATTTCAAATTACAAATGATGAATATAAACAAATAACACAAGTATGTAGGGACAAATTTAGAAAGGACAAGGAACAAAATGAGATTAAGCTAGCTAGAGACATAAAGGGTAACAAGAAAACATTCTACAAATACATTAGAAGCAAGAGGAAGACCAAGGACAGGGTAGGCCCGTTACTCAATGAGCAGGAAAAAACAATAGCAGAAAATGTGGAAATGGCAGAAGTGCTAAATTACTTTTTTGTTTCGGCTTTCACCAAAAAGGTTAGTAGTGATTGGCCATCTAACACAGTGAATTCCAGTGAAAATGAGGTAGGATCAGGGGCTAGGGAAAGAAAAAGTTAAAAATTACTTAGACAAGTTAGATGTCTTCAAGTCACCAGGGCCTGATGAAATAAGTCCTAGAATACTCAAGGAGCTGACTGAGGAGATATCTGAGACATTAGTGATTATCTTTGAAAAGTCATGGAAGATGGGAGAGATTCTAGAGGAATGGAAAAGGGCAAATATAGTGCCAGTCTATAAATAGGGAAATAAGGACAACCCGGGGAATTACAGATCAATCAGCTTAACTTCAGTACCCAGAAAGATAATGGAGCAAATAATTAAGCAATCAATTTGCAAACACCTAGATGATAATAAGGTGATAAGCAACAGTCAACCATGGATTTGTCAAGAACAAATTGTCCTAATAACCTTCTTTGACAGGGAAACAAGCCTTGTGGATGGGGGGAAGCGGTAGATGTGGTACATCTTGACTTCAGTAAGGCTTTTGATACTGTCTGGTATGACCTTCTCATAAACAAAAGAGGGAAATACAACCTAGATGGAGCTACTATAAGGTGGGTGTATAACTGGTTGGAAAAACATTCCCAAAGAGTAGTTAGTGGTTCACAGTCAAGCTGGGAGGGCATATCAAGTGGGGTCCCACAGGGATCAGTTTTGGGTCTGGTTCTGTTCAATATCTTCATTGATGATTTAGATGATGTCATAGAGAGTACACTTATAAAGTTTGCGGATGATACCAAGCTGGGAGGGGTTGCAAGTACTTTGCAGGATAAAATTAAAATTCAAAATGATCTGGGCAAGCTGGAGAAATGGTCTGAAGTAAATAGGATGAAATTCAATAAGAACAAATGCAAAGTACTCCATTTAGGAAGGAACAGTCAGTTGCACACATAGAAAATGACAAATGACTGCCTAGGAAGGAGTACTGCAGAAAGGGATCATAGTGGATCACAAGCTAAATACAATAACTCCTCGCTTAATGTTCCAGTTATGTTCCTGAAAAATGTTACTTTAAGCAAAACGATGTTAAGTAAATCCAATTTCCCCATAAGAATTAATGTAAGTGTGGGGGGGGTTAGGTTGCAGGGACATTTTTTTCACCAGACAAAAGACTATATATATATATATACACACACATACACACAGTATAAGTTTTAAACAAACAATTTAATACTGTACACAGCAATGATGATTGTGAAGCTTGGTTGAGGTGGTGAAGTTAGAGGGTGGAGGAGGAAGGGATATTTCCCAGGGAATGCCTTACTGCTAAATGATGAACTAGCACTCGGCTGAGCCCTCAAGGGTTAACACATTGTTGTTAATGTAGCCTCGCACTCTACAAGGGAGCACGAATGGAGGGAGGAGAGACAGCGTGGCAGACAGAGACAGGGACACACACCATGTGTGAGAGAGAGATGCGCATTTGCCCCTTTAAGTATTCTGACCCCACTCTAAGTACATTGCCTTTTTAAGTAGATTAGCAAATTGAGGCAATAGCTGCTGCCAGCAAGTTCCCTCCGTCCTGAGCCCTGTCACTCTGTGGAGATGAGGTACAGAACCAGAGGGGCAGGAGCAGGGGGAGGGGGACACCCTGACATTAGCACCCCCTCTTCCCCCCACCTTTGCACAGCAAGCGGGAGGCTCCCAGGAGCAGCTCCAAGGCCGAGGGCAGGAGCAGCACAGGGCAGTTGGGGGAGGGACAGCTGAACTGCCTGGGAACTGATAGCCTGCTGGGTGGCTGCTGCACAGGGAACTTAATGGGGCTGCTGGTCCACTCTGGTTCCAAGCCCCCACCAGCTAGCTGCAACGGGCTGCTCTTCCTGCAAGCAGTGGACAAAGCAGGCAGCTGCCAAACAACGTTACAAGAGACATCGCGCAACTTTAAACGGGCGTGTTCCCTAACTGATCAGCAACGTAACAACAAAACAACGTTAACCAAGACGACTTTAAGTGAGGAGTTACTGTATGAGTCAACAGTGTAAAACTGTTGCAAAAAAAGTGAACATTCTTCTGGGATGTATTAGCAGGAGTATTGTAAGCAAGACATGAGCAGTAATTCTTCCGTTCTACTCTGTGCTGATACAGCCTCAGCTGGAGTATTGTGTCCAGTTCTGGGTGCCACATTTCAGGAAGGATGTGGACAAATTGGAGAAAGTCCAGAGAAGAGCAACAAAAATGACTAAAACTCTAGAAGACATGACCCATGAGGGAAGGTTGAAAAAACTGGGTTTATTTAGTCTGGAGAAGAGAAGACTGAGAGAGGACATGATAACAGTTTTCAAGGACATAAAAGGTTGTTACAAGGAGGAGGAAGAAAAATTCTTCTTCTTAACCTGTGAGGATAGGACAAGAAGCAATGGGCTTAAATTGCAGCAAGGGCGGTTTAGGTTCGACATTGGGAAAAAGGTCCTAACTGTCAGGGTGGATAAGCACTGGAACAAAATGCCTAGGGAGGTTGTGGAATCTCCATCATTGGACATTTTTAAGAGCAGGTTAGACGACCACCTGTCAGGGATGGTCTAGATAATACTTAATCCTGCCATGAGTGCGGGGGACTGGACTAGATGACCTCTCGAGGTCCCTTCCAGTCCTACAATTCTATATTCTATAACAGTCATGTCATTCCAAGCATACCAAGAGGTTATTAAGCAGTGCAGCACTTTGAAATCTCATATTACTAGTACTTTACAAATACAATATTCTTATTATTACAGTGATGAAATATTAATTCTGTATTAACAGTTATTTGATAGATAATAATACACAAAATATAAACCTTTTTTTCTAAATTATAAGCTGCTCTTATGTACGATTTTGTTTCTGAATATTTTGGGCCTGATCCTTTGTTGCTGGAATTCCCAATGCTCCCACTGACTTGGTTATGCAGGAAGGCAGGATCAGGCCCATTGTGTAACTGAATTGAAAAAAACTATAATGTATATTCACAGGGGAGATCAGAATTATGCTAGCCATGGAGCTCTGTGTTTACTGCCTTTTGTGCAGTTAAATACAAGTTACAACCTGATCCTCAAGTTCTGACGCCGGCAAAACGCTTATTTAAGCCAATGGGAGTTTTGTCACAGTCTGAACTGCAGGACAGGGCCCGTAGTGCAGCTCTCACACTGATGTGGTATTTTCAGATGTCACCTAGTGCTCGGATCATAATCAGGGCTCTTGTGCTATTCAGGAAAAATGACTTCATTAGCCAGATTTTCATAAATGCTCAGCACCCAGCAACTCTCACTGAGAACAAAGGAGAATTCCCTCCCCCACCCTCACTGAGAACTGTAATGGTCACAGCACACAGAGAAGTTAGACACAAACATAAATACTCCTGCTGGAAGGTTGCAGCGTAACGTGACTTTGTCTTAGAATCCAGAACCTTAACACACAAGAACCTAAACCAGAGGGGGGGCTGCTCCCTAACGCCCTGGGAACAACTCACCCCACCTTGCTTTATGTTGGCTCATTCATAGGAACAGTTTGTGAACTAGTGCAAACCTGTGTGCGGACAGGTAAATCCACCTCACACTAGCCTGCTGCCCACTAACTAGCCGTGTGGACGCTGCTGCCATGCACTTAAAGTTTCCTGGTGCACGTTGCTCTGTTCCGGTTTCAAAGCGGGGCAGATCAAAGCGCACTACAGAATTGTTAGTGCACGTAGCAGGGTCCACACAGACAGACAGTGCCCAGCAGGCCAGTGTGAGACAGATTTACACCCCCGCTTGCCACAAACTAACTGTTCCTGTAGACAGGCCCTGATTCTGCTCACACACTTTCCTACAGAGCCCTCTAGCCTGCAAACAGGACCTGGAAACCCCCCACTCTTAAAGCGATAGCTTGCAATTCCAACACAGTCCCCACTATACCACAAGAACAAAGGAGAATTTCCTCCCCCACCCCCAGTGAGAAAAATGATGATTGCTGGGTACTGAGCTGTTATGAAAATCTGGCCAATGACATCCCAGCCTGCAAGGTGTTAAACAACCTCAGCTCCTACTGGAGTCAAAGGGTACATCTACCCTATAATTAGCACCCGCAACTGGCCCGTGCCATTGACTCAGGCTCATGGGGCTCAGGCTAAGGGGCTGTTTAATTGCAGTGTAGATATTTGGGCTCAGGCTGAAGCCCGAGCTCTGGGACCCTCCCACCTCACACGGGTCTGGAGTCTGGACTGCAGCCCAAGCCCGAATGTCTACACCAGAATTTAACAGCCCCTTATCCTGAGGCCCTTAGCCACAGGCCATGAGCAGGTGTCTAACTGCAGGGTAGATACATCCAAAGAGAATGGAGGTTGCTCAGGACTTTTCAAGACGGGTTCAGTACCTTGAAGGTCCAGGCCAATGAACCGGAGACACAATGATAAATACTCTCCGCCCACGTCTGCAGCATCTCAGTCTATCCATGTGCGGCTGGGGGGGGGAGGGAGGCACTGACCTGTTACGTAAATCGCTGACTCTCTCTCCTGGTCGAGACGGGGGTTCCTGACACAGCAGGACACTTTCTGGTTGGACTCTTCTCTTAGAACAATGGCAATCTCTGTTTGAAACAGGCCATCGGCCTCTTGGGATATGTTTTCAGAGGCCGATGGTAAGAGCTGCCCCTGGAGATCTCTCCACTGAGCCTTGGGCTCTGGGTACCATCCGGATGATCGACACACAACCCGGATCCCTCTGTCCTGATGTCCCTCCACAGAGATGGCAGGAGCAGAGCCCAAATCTACAGAAGAAATAAATGAACTTGTGATAATCCTACAGTGCCCAGTAATGAGCCAAAAGTTTTTACACTGTTATCAAAAGCCATTTCCTATTAAACTAATAATCAAATGTGAGTCCACAAGTGCAGCTGGTCAGTTAATCTGGCCAGATTCCTGTTTGATATACAGTAGAGTTAATGTTAATGTCAGGGCTTTTCTATGGACAAACTTGCTCCAGTTTAGTTAAACTGATTTAGTTAATCAAATGCAAATCCCTATGTGGACACTCTTAAAGCAGGCAGGAATTGACTCAAGCTAAATCAATGTAAGCCATTTCCAAACCCATGTAAGTGTTCACACACAGGTTTGGACGAGTTCATCAAAACCAGTGCACATCTATGTGTAGACAAGCCTCAAATTAATTCACTAATAAAAAACTTTGTTATAGGGGAGTTCAGGTTGCTTGGCAGTGCCTTGTACCTTTCCAGAATGCAGAAGTGGGTAGCAAAAATTGGTACCTGTGAAAGCCAGGAAATACACTCAGCAAAACAGAAACACAAACACTAGATAACAAGGAGTTGCAGGGTTAAGGTAACACCTCCCACAGCAGATCACACTTGGGGTTTTTTATTACCGATGAGCTAAACTGAAATAAAATTATCTTAATCTGAAACAAGAGTCTTGTACCTTAACCAGAGGTGTGAATTCAAATGGATTTCCTTATTATGGGATCCGTTTGTGTGCAGATACCTTAGGGTATCTGGAAATTTCACACAGACCATCTTAGAGAGGGAAACAATTCTTGACCAGGAGAGCACAGACTACAGAAATCTCTCCCAGCAGGAGTAGGACTCACAAGGCTTTGGTCTGACAGACTCATGGGAAATGCCCAAGAGTCACAGACAAAAACTGATGTTAAAAGGCCTAAGGTGAAAATTATATGTAACAACCCCCGCACGCACACACCCCTGTGCTTCTGTTGCTGTTCCTTCTAAACAGTCCACTGACTCCAGCTAGATGGGGACTTGCAGGTAAACAAAGGAAAAAGTTCATGAACCTTTGCAGCATGCTCAGTAGGGCATCTCCAAAGGTGGGGGCCAATTCCACTCCCAATATAAGGAACAAAGGTGGCAAACTCTTCCTTTAGTTCAGCCATACCCAGAGGGTGACAGCCACACCACAGGGGAGGTGAAGATCTTTGGCCTGAAGGCCGATAATCATAGGCCTGATTTTACTAACTGCAGCAAGAAGATAACCACAAGAAGAAGGGTACCAGCCAATTTCCAAGAACTGGTTCAGCTCAGAGCAGTGTGGGGACATTAACGCCAAATCAGTAGTGTATGTTTTAAATGCACAGGGTTTGGGGCCTGTGAACCATTTGGTACTGAAGAAATCTGTACGTTTGATATTAATTTTGTTGTTGTTGTTTGCAAAGTATTTGCTGTGCTGATGTAATGATAAGATTGTGTTTAGATTTATAAGGAGTCTCAGTTAACCCTCAGATTGTCCCCTTTTGAACCTAATGATTGTTTTAGTTTGAGCAGCTTTACTACACTGTGGTGTCTTTATTCCAAACGGGAGCAATTCAGGTTATGGGCGTCCACGACTGTCCAAATGTGCATATTTATCTCATGTGTTGTTATCACGGATGAGAGTTCCGCTGTCAAACCAGACTGAACCCGCTCACTCTTCCTGCAGTAATATGGAATTATAGTGGGTACTTGTGTAACCAAAGTTTGGTAGGTTACATGTACGGTACAGAAGGGAATGACCGTGTTGTGGTTATAAAGTGAACTCTGTGTAATACCCAGTCTTGGCAGCTCAGGTTACCCACAGCGGACAGTTATTGTGCTGTAGATGGGAGTGAGTGGCTGGAAGGGTTTTAAGTAGAATGTATGTCTCTATCTCCCAACAAGAGGGCTACAGGGAGTGACCCTCACAAATGACAGCAGCTGAGAACCAGCCCAAAGCCCATGAGGGACAGAGCAGCTGACCGGGGACATCCCAGGAGGGAGCCAGGAAAAGCACCATGCCAGGGAGGAATCACCTGAGAAGGACCAACTGGTGGACCCAGTATCCCTGTCACCCAGAGCTGTCTGGGGCTTATGACTTTGCATTAGGAAAGAAGAGGGAGGCTGTAGTCAGTTAAGTAGGGAGGTTGTTGCTCTGTGGGGTTTGCAGAGAGTGGCAGAAGAGGGCACCGGAGAGGTTTGTTGGGGAAAGTTCACTGGCGCTAAACACAACCAGGAGCACTGAAGACTCACCACCGGACTGGAACTCTGCCCAGGACTCGTGAACTCTGAGTGTAGACACAGTGCTTGTCATCTACCCTGTAATATTGTGGTACCACTGGGCCTGTGGGGCCTCGTGTTGCATCTAACCGTTTTACTGCTCCCCCTGTATTCTCCCCTGTTGTTTTTCTACCTTCATTGCTCTGTAAATATGTATTTACCTTTCCTATGTTCATTGTACTATTCTGGTGTGTGTGCGTTTACACCGCAGCAGTTTGGAACAGGTGCCTCTAGGTTGGAAGGGAGTTACCCCGGTGTGCTCCAGTGTGAGCCTGTTCTTGGCCAGAGCCGCTCTGAAGAGCAGACTCCATCTCAGCCATGAGGGCTCTATAGTTACATATTAATACCCACAATATACTTGCTAATGCAGAAGAGAAGGTTACTCACCTTGCAGTAACCGAGGTTCTTCGAAATGTGTGTCCCTGTGGGTGCTCCACTCCACCCGGCGCCGTTGATCGGAGATCTTCAGTAGCAGTGCCTGGTCGGGACGCACGTGCTCAGCTGCTGTCTTGTGGCTTCATTAGGGTCTGCCTGAGCGTGCACATCCCGCACCCCCTTCTCTACCGTAGAGTTGTCTGATTAGTACTCCAAAGTAGAGGGGAGGAGGGTGGGTAGTGGAGCATCCACAGGGACACACATCTCAAAGAACCTCAGTTACTGCAAGGTGAGTAACCTTCTCTTCTTCTTCGAGTGCTGTCCCTGTGGGTGGTTGGCTTCTGTGCATAGGGAGTGTGATCGTGCTCCCCCCAGCCTGTTGATGTAGAACATACATGCTATATTGTCCGTGAGGATCCGAATGGACTTGTTCCTTACGATGGGGAAAAGTGAAGGCAGGCGTATCTGACTGCTCTGAGCTCGAGAAAATGTATGTGTAGATGCGTCTCTGATAGGGACCAGTGGCCCTGTGTTGTGTGTTCCCCTAGGTGCGCTCCCTCAGGGGCCATGCAGACGTCATCTTGGTGCAAGAATTGCTGCTGCTCCATGGGCTGTGGTCCTGCGGAGCGCAAAGTGTGAGCGGAAGCCCACATTGACTTTTGTTTTGCATTCGCATGCGCCATGGGCCATTTATAGGCACCCTGACCGGGGTCCGCGTCTGCTGCGGGGGTGATGGGCAGGCTTGGTGCCAAAGTTCTTGTCGGTACCGGGTCTATCTTCAGTGCCAATGGGACCGGTGCCAAGGAGAGCTTCCCACTGTGGGAAGGCGGGTCCCTGCTTTTGCGCCCCTGTGAGCCGCAGCTGAGGTGCTGGGGCAGTCGGAATCGCCTCCTTTTGGCGCTGTCAGCACCGACGGTAAAGATCTCGCAGGAGACCCTTTACCCTTTTGAAAGTCTCTGTGCGGAGACATTGGGGTTTCCTGCCTCTTCGCTTGAGAGGGTGAAGCCACGTTCCCAATCGGTTCCTACCTCGCAGGGGAGTGTGAGGGAGAGGGTTTACTTCTGCCCGTCTCCATAGGCGGCTGCAGAGATTTCTCCATCAGGAGCATTTTTAGCTGCAAGTCCCTGTTATGACACAATGAATTCACTTGGCAGGAACGTGTGTCTCACCGAGGCACTTCACACACCATGAGTGTCCATCAGACCACAGCATAGATTCCTTACAGGAATCATATTTCTTAAAGCCTGGGGACCCCGGCATCATTGAAGTATGATGGCCGGGGAGAGAGTCTCAACAGGAGACAAACGTGAGGAAAAAAAAGTTTGTCTGTCTTTTTTTGAAACCAACGAACTATTCTAAAGGAAGGGAGAGAACTGGGATATTTTTGTCTAACTAATTCTATTTCTTTCTACTTATTTCCTTCAGAGACCAGGGAAGAGGTTGAGCACTGCCCCAAATACCATCTTCAGCTGAGGACGGTTGAGAAGGAACTGAGGGGGGTGTGGGACGCGTGCGCTCAGGCAGACCCTAACAACGCCGCGAGACAGCAGCCGAGCGCGTGTGTCCCAACCAGGCACTGCTACCGAAGATCTCCGATCAATGGTGCCGGGATGCACCGTCACCTGGAGTGGAGCACCCACAGGAACAGCACTTGAAGAAGAAGTAAGGATGCCCAGCAGTGCCTTGTGCCTTCCCAAAATGCAGAGAGCAGCTAAACTTAAATGTCTGAAACCCAAGAGATAAAAAATAATGGCGCACAGCACCCCTGCCATGCAACCTTAATTCTGCCTCGTGGGGCTGGCAATAGATGCTAGGAATGGTTCAGGCAGGATGGTACCATAATACACAGACATAGAATCATCGGACCAGAAGGGACCTTGAGAGGTCATCTAATCCAGTCCCCTGCACTCATGGCAGGACTAAGTATTATCTAGACCATCCCTGGCAGGAGTTTGTCTAATCTGCTCTTAAAAATCTCCAATGATGGAGGCTCCACGACTTCCCTAGGCAATTCATTCCAGTGCTTAACCACGCTGACAGTTAGGAAGTTTTTCCTAATGTCCAACCTAAACCTCCTTTGCTGCAATCCCCATGAGGGAGGGCTATGAGAAGGTACCATTGCTTGTGTTGTGTTTCTTGGATTTAGATTCCAGCATCTATCTGCCTGCACTTCCACGGCCTTCGCTGCGTTCAGAGTAGCTGTAGTGACTGGTGGAGGGATTCATTCGAGCAGGCTGTCACAGCTGTCACTGCGATAGGAGGAGGGGAATCACGTATGTCTCATTTCAGTGCTGAGGTCTGTAGGCTGTGTCAGTAGAAGGGCACAGAGGTGTCTTCTTGCCATGGGGATTGTCAGCAGTCTGGTGTTTGCTGCACCCGACCTAAACCTCCTGTCATGGTCACAGAACTAGCTACACCTGTCCCCTGGCTGGTCTCTCTGGCAGCACCTTCAGGGGTCAGGCCTCCTGCCTTTACCTGTCCTGGGGTGGGGGGCTAATTCCTCAACTCTCCCACTCTTATACCAGGCCCTGGGCTACAGGACCCAGTGCATCAACTACTCTTACCCTGTGGGTGCCAGACATGAGCCAAAATCAATCCCAGCTGGTAACATCAGTTTGGGGAGGATCAGCCATCGTTTGTTCCCAGGTGTGCTCAAAAATGTAATCATCACAACTTAATCTCGCCTGACTTTTTATTGATGTTTGTGCATCTCATTAACCACTTGCTCTAATGACCTCAGATTTAGCCCGCTAACCCCACCCCAGACTGCAGTGTGTCACAACAATTTCAAGACAGTCTGAGTAAGCGTGTGGATTTTAGAGGCCTATGGAAAAAACAGCTGGTAAACAGTGAACTAGAACCAGCTGTAACCAGAGCAGAGCTATTACCCCACCATAATGAGAAAAATCATGTGTCCTCTGACAATGAACCCTCTGACTCCACTCATTACCCTGCTGAAGGCATCAAAGCATTAGAACAAGTTACTGACCTGCCACCTGTAATTCTAATACAGCTTCTTCATAAGTGACACTGGACTGAAAACGACACTTGTACGGTCCCTCGTCAGAGGGTTGGATGTTGCGTATTCTCAGGGAAACACTCCCACTGGTGATGTCGTCTTTCAAGAACTCAGTTCTTTGTTGATATTCTGCCATCTGCTCTTCATACTGATCCTGTCCATCCTTATACAGGTGCACAACTGCAGAGTATTTGGATTGGAACCACCTCACCTCCATGTTCTCAGCGCTCATCCTAGGGGAGAGGTGGCAGGGCAGGACGGCCTCCCCACCTAGGGAGGCAATGACTGGGTGGTCAGGTCCAGTCACTGTGAACTGTGCTGTGAAATGTACAATGAAAAATGGAAATTAAATCGGTAAGGGGCTGGGGGTGGCTTTAATTCAGCAGTAAAACTCACAGTAAGAGAACACCCTGCATTAGAAGCAAACACCCCATACCCATGCAGTGCCCTAGACATGTCTCTGAGTGCAGAGAGTCACAAGCTTTGGGTAACTGTACCTCTGACTCCCTCTATGGTCTGCTCAAGGAATGTCCCCTTAGGTCTCAGGCCTCCAGCCATCACCTCTCCCTGGGCAGGGACCCACATCCCGCTCACTGGGGTTTCAAGGCTTGCAGCTCCCTGTGATTCACTGTGGTTTTCCCAGCAGGCCTGACCAAAGACCAGCATCTGCGCTTTGCTTTCACTCCCAGGGCTATGAACAGCGTGTGCCAGCAGTTACCAGCAACCAAACAGCTCTTCCAAAGCAGAGAACTTTGAAGGACAAAAGCCTGACAGAGAAAACTTACCATAAACCAATAAGAGGTCTGAACATGTTACATTTATACCGAAGGATTCTCATCCGGCACATGGGACTCTCTGATAGGTTCCAAAGTCCTTCAAACCTTCTCTAAGGGTTTTTCCTCTTGAGTAACAGATCCTGTCAGTTTGTAGCCCAAGATCCCAGGCCTCTGGTCTGTTTAAATCAAGGGGTTTTCACCAAATATCTTTGTTCTCTTTGGCTTCTGGGACCTGGTCTGAACTAGTTTGTGCAATTCTCCTTAGGGGTGGCACTTCTCTGCAGCTGTTACCTGTCCCAGCAGTAATTACCCCCATGGGTTGTAGCTCCTGGAGGAGATGGGGTAACCCTCCCCAATGGAATAGATTACAATCCTGAGCCCACAGAGGTACATATAACATGTACAGGTGCCATTTATACAGGGGATACAAAAAGAACCTTCATAAAATTAATTAAATAAACCCCAAAATACCACTTGTGGTTGCAATACCTGTCACACAGAGTACACATGTCAGTGTTATACATTGTCCCTATTATCTCTGAATAGGGCTCAAAACTTCTCACGGGCACCCCGGGCACAATGGATATTGGGGGCTTGATTCTCTGATACACAAAGGACTTTTTGTGCCACTCCGTCATGGGGCCTTCCCCAACTGCTGCAGGGATGGTGAGGCGCATACAAGACAAAAAGATATGAAAATAGATCATCACTACGCAGGCAAAGTCAGAGGCCAGATAATGGAGAGGGAGAAGGAGGCAAATAGAAAAGTGCAGGAAGCAGAGAAGCAGCCATTATGGAATTGCAGGGGGGTCTTGGTGAAGAGACTCAGCATCAGGAGAGACAGAGAGAGCAGGTTAAATTAGCAGGATGGAAACCACAGCAAGAGAGAACCAAAATGCCCAAGTTGCTGTGGAGGCAGCCCCAGGGCTGGAGTGGGTCACTATTATCCCTGAGGGAACAGAATGAAGAAGCTGGCAAATTTCACATCCCTCCTTGTGACAGGAGATTTAGCTCTGAGCCCTGATCAGATGTGCCTAGAGCAGCATGAATGATTTGAGGGTTGTTACTTCATAGCTGAAGAGACGGGGATTCATGATTTGTTTGTGGCCGAAGAGTCTGATCTGTGACTTATACAGACTGCCAGTGCAGTGTACAGGAATGGGTAGTGTCCCTTTAAATAGTTTGTGAGCCCTGTCGTGGTGCTCCTGTGATCTGTATTCTAGAAGCTGCCAGAAACCAGCCAGAGCAGTAGGGTGGATGTAGGGTCAAGGCCTGACAAGCTGGTGTATAGATCTTAACCATGGTCAGGGGACCCAGCTGTGCCCTGTGGTTTCTCCAGGTTGCTGGTTGTTGTGTAAAGAGCAAAGACACACCAGGCGTGTTGAACAGACGCTGTTTACAAGACAAGGCAGTAATGCGAGACGGACGGTGATGACCAGCAATAGCAACAGCAGCAAACCCAGCGAGGAGGCCGGAGCTCCTACCTGATGCCAGCCGGTGAACCTGTAGAGCGAGGCAGAGAGCAACGTAGCCGGACAGATAGGAGCTCACTGTGGAGCTGGGGGAGAACGAGGGAACCTTCCCCGTCATCGTAGCTTGGTCTGGGGAACGGGAGAAATAACAAACCAGACGGTGAGTGAGTGTGATGCAGTGACAGTGCCATGGGGCAGTGGGGAGGAGGTAACAAGCCTCACTGTTGCCTAACGTACATCAGAAGGGAAGGGATTTCCCCCACAGTCCTCGTCTGCCCTGGCTCTGAGGAGGGTTAGATGTTGCTGTGATTAAAACCCAGACCTGCCAGAAGCCAGTCCATACCACGGCTGAGACCTGCGGAGCTCTCTGCTCTATTTAGACTGTGTAAGGACCTGGGGAGCAGTGTGGAAAATAGGCTCCGCAGGAAGTACCGCCCACGAGCCCCAGAGTGACAGTACCCTGCAGGCCTCTGATTGGCCAGGTGCCCCTACTTAACTCCAGGGCTTGCCCCAGGAAGATGTCTGGACAACTACCCAAATCTTTGTGTGTTACTGTGCTGGACTTTGCCTTGTCTCCTAATCTCTGACCCTGAATCCTGCCTCTTGATTCTAACCTGGTACTACCTCTGGTATCTGACTCTGACCCGGTCTCTTGTTTACAGACCCTGGCCTTGTGATTCCTCTAACTCTGGCTCAATGACTCCCATCCCAGGTGGGGAGACCTCAGCCCAGCTGTGACCTCTAGGCAAGACTGCCTAAGCCCTGGTCCTTTACACCTGGGCAGGGCAGGTCTCTCACTATTGGTGTGTCCAGCTCTCAGCACAATGGGGCCCCATCTTGGCTGGGGCATTTAGATGCTACCATAGAATGGGCCATATTAGGGAAAACAAGCCAGTTCAGGCAAAGCCTTTGAGTAGGGTATGAATGGCCACTGATCGCTGTGGGGGAAAGTGGCCCCATCTCCCAGCCACACCTCTCCTAGGTGAGAGGTTTCTGGGGATCTCCCTATGAGCAGATCAGTCGCTGACCCAAGTGATTTTATGTGTCAGTGACCCACCTTCATTGCCTCCAGCATTGGTGCAAATGTCAAAGGAATTCTGATCAGGGTCACCACATCTCTGTGACCCCTGGGATCTGCACCATTTAAATCACTCTCAAGGTACGTCTACACTGCAGCTGGGAGTGAGCTTCCCCGTGCTCGTAGACAGACATGCTAGCTCTCCTTGAGCTAGGACGCTAAAAATAGCGGAGTAACGGGGTAGCCCACCCCAGGCGGCAGTTCGGGCTTCCTGCCTGAGAACAAACCTACCTGGACTCCTGGGGTACGTACCCGGGTGGCTAGCCCGTGCTGCCCCGGCTACACTGCTAGTTTTAGCGTATGAACTTGAGCACAGCTAGGACGTGTCTATCTACCCACATTGGGAAGCTCAGTCCCAGCTGCAGTGTAGACGTTCCCTTAGAGACAGAGAGAGCTTTAGATAAATGTTAGTGTCACTCATGGCTCACGCTTCAAGCAGCTGGGCAGCCCCTGCCAGGGTGTGCAGTGGTGTCAAGTCCTCCCAGGAACCAGGCTGTGCCTGTAACTTCCCCTAGACTGGGACGGCCACCGTGTTACCCACAGAGCAGCCAGCACTGGCCAGGAAGGGAGCCTGACCAGGGCTCCAGGGCACAGACTCGTGGCCTCCCCGTGTGGCTCCCACTGACAGAGCTCTGGGGGGAGGTGAAGCACCCCCTGCCCTGGCAGACACCTGTAATATGGGCAGCAGCGGTAACAGCATCTGCCCTCCCTCGGGGCAATGGCCCTGCAGACTGGGGTGGGGCTGGGAGGGATTCACTGAATCTGGACCAAGGGTTTTCTCTTCTTGTCTTTCACCCCCTCCCTCTGGAACTTCAGTTCAGTGACAATAACAAAGGGGAGGAGGGGGGAGAGAAACACACACACACACCTGTCACAAAGGAAGCCCAGCTCTGTGCCAGCGTCCCAGTCTGTGTTCAGATGCAGAGAAATCTCTGAATTTGCAGGGACATTCCCACAGCCAGGTTGACATTCAGAATCAGGAGGTGCCGGTTTCTCCCTGAGAATCCCTTCAGTGAGGCCCATCGGTGCTAACGGCCCATCTGAAGGGACCTCAGTGCTGTGTGTCCGGAAATCTCAGACAGAGCCGTGCAGCTGGGGATCCAGGGCCCGGAGCTTCCCTCCCGGCTGAATCCCGGAGAGAAGCTTTGAATCAGAAAGTCGGGAAGGTTCCACAAAATTCTACAAAGCTCTAGAACGTTCTAGGAGGTTAGTAACAAATGAGCCACATAAGGAAAACCTGAAACATTTTACTTCAAACCTTCGATTTTTCCTTTTATCGCTAACAACAAAAACAGCCCCCGAGCCTGGCGCCCCCCAGCCTGGCACCCCAGGGAGTTGCCCAGGTTACGTGCCCGTAAATCCGGCCCTGGTCCCCATGTCACTTACCGAGGCTGCACACGGGGTCCTGAAGCCAGAGGGTTTGAGACCCGACCCGCCATCGACAGGGCCAAGCCCCCTTCGTGCCCACCCCTGCCCCTGGCCTCAAACTTGAAAGTACCAAAGTAGGGAAAGTTGAAGTCCCGGTCTGTGTGTCCCGGGCTGGTTGGGGCGGAGCAAATTCCTCTGAAAAAAACAGCCCCACCCCAGGGCTCAGAGCTCCCCGGGTTGGGAGCCAGTGTCGGGGTGTCAATGCCCCCCCGTTGCTGTTCCTGCCCCCCAGGGATCGCTGGGTTCTCAGTAATTCCCCCGCCCAGCCCCGTCCCCACAGCCCTGTCGAAAAAGCATACCCCCCCCCGTCCTGAGTGGAGGCAGAATGAGGAAGGCGGGGGGAGGATGCTGCGGGGGGAGGGGAGCTGAAATCCGGAGTGACTAAGTGGGACTGGGGTGGGAACCAGGAGCGGATCAATGGGGAGGGGCAGAGGGGGGGTGACTCAGGAACTTCCCGGCTGTAGCTGGCTCGGCTCCTGCAGGCGCTCAGGGGGCAGAGCCGGGGCGGGGGGGTCAGGGAGGGCAGCAGCAGCTCTGGGACTCGCAGCACCCCCCCCCCCCCCCGGAGCAGAGCTGGGGCGAGGAGGGGCCCTTGGTGCAAAGTCACTTTCCTGCCCGGCCCCAGCCCTTTCCCCGGGTCTCTCCCCTCCGCTGCAGGCTCCCGCTCAGGGGCTGGTGTCGGCAGAGCCCGGGGCTGCCCCAGGGGCTGGTTCCAGCCCCCGGCGTGTGTCCCCCCCGCGGGAGCGCCATGGCCAAGTCTGAGGGTCGGTGAAAGCTGCGGGGGGCTCAGGGCTGGAGGCGGCGGGTCCGTCACTGTTACGCTGTCACCAGCAGCCCGGGGAGGAGGAGGGGGAGTCCCTGGGCGTGGGGCCAAGGGGCTGGATTCTCCTAAATCACAGGAGTTCCCCTCCCCCCAGCCCCGCCCCTTCCCAAACAGGGAACAGGAGCGGGGGGGGGGGGAGCAGAGCCCAGATCTGGGGCCGTGTCCTTGCTGCTCAGCGCAGATGCTCCCAGCCACCGGCACCCCCTGCAACCCCCAATCCGGGCAGCTGACGCTGGCCGGTGTGTCAGGAACTGCTTCCCATTGGAATCTGCTACCAGTAGCAAAAAAACCGAAACTCACTTGGAGGATGGATCCTCAGTGTTTGCAGTAGCAGTCCCCTCGGTGCCTGTTTCTGCCTCTAGTTATGTGCACTGTTGTCTCCCACAAGGCTCCCACACACTATCTCCTGCCCAGTCCCTAGCACGAACCCTGAACCTGGGGAAGCTAGGTGCTCCTCCGCTTAGCTCGCCTGCAGGGTCTGATCCAGCAGGTCTGCTCAGAGGCCAACCATCAGATCCAGTCTCAGACAAAGTCTGGCCAGAGGAGGATGTGCCTTCCCAATAGTTAGAGCACTCACCTCAATATGAAGAGACCCAGGTTCACTGCCCCCCTGTGTGAGGGAGAGAAAGGACTTGCACTGGGGTCTCCCACACCTCTTAGGAGAGCTCTCTAATAATTTCAGAATAGTAGCTGTGTTAGTTATCATGTGCCAGCAATGCCCCTCTGCCATGTACATTGGCCAAACCGGACAGTCTCTACGCAAAAGAATAAATGGACACAAATCAGACGTCAAGAATTGTAACATTCAAAAAGCAGTCAGAGAACACTTCAATCTCTCTGGTCACTCGATCTCAGACCTAAAAGTCGCAATTCTTCAACAAAAAATTTTCAAAAGCAGACTCCAACGAGAGACTGCTGAATTAGAATTAATTTGCAAACTGGACACCATTACATTAGGCTTGAATAAAGACTGGGAGTGCATGGGTCATTACACAAAGTAAAACTATTTCCCCAGGTTTATTTCCCCCCCCCCCCACACACACACACAAACACTGTTCCTCACACGTTCTTGTCAACTGCTAGAAATGGTCCACCTCGATTATCACTACAAAAGGTTTTTTTTCCTGGATCGCAGCCCTTTCCCCACCTGGGCTCCAGTGCTGAAGTCTCACCCCCCACCCCCTTCCTGGCTCCCGGCTTCCCCTGTATGAAATATGGAGCAATAATATATGGGAGCTGATGAGGGCCCGATCCTGGAAAACCTCCCATTTCACACGTCACGTTGGTCTCAGGGAGTGCTGCTGTGACTAAGGCTGCTGGGGAAGTGGCTGGGGAGATGGGGTGTGGGGGGGTTGCAGGCAGTGTTGGTGGCTGGGAGCATCTGTGCTGCTTAAGCGGGGGAATGGTCCTTCTATTGTGGGGAACTTTCCTGGCTTCTGCACTACCCCGGTGAAGTGGGCTAGCGAAAGGATCTGAGTCCTCCCTCCCACTTCCTTTACCCAGAGGCCTCCCTGCCCTTGAGGACTCCCCTTCCGCTCTCCTGTCTGGCAGAGTCCTCGTAACCCCAATAAGGCTGGGCCCAGGATTCCTGGGGGGCTCGACCCCCAACCCTGCTGTGGTCACCTAGGGCAGGGGCTAGGGTGTTTTCACTTCGGGGTACTCTCTCTGCACTGGGCACTTCCTTGACCCAGTGATCATTACATACAATTTAAAGCAAATACAGGTTATTTAATTAGCAATTAATTTAAAAAAGAATAAGGAAAAATGGGAAAGGTTAAAGGAAAACACATCACCCCACTCTGTGGCAGGGAACATCACAAACAGTGTGTCTGGAACATCAGGACAGTTCACAGTCTGTTTCCTGTAGGTCCCAGGCCACCTTCTCAGGCCTTGGCTGTGCTGCAGGGATGCTGCGGGTTGGACACTTGCTCTGGTGGTGGCCACACACCTCTGGGCTTTGGGTGGTGGGACTCTTCTACCCAGAGTCAGCCCCCCGACAGGTTAAGATCCCCCTTCCAGTCTGGCCTGCAAGGACCCTTGGCTGGGGGTGTCTTTCTGCGCTGGGCCCTTTGCCCAGGTTCCCCCCTTGGCTGGCCCCAGTTGCTCACTGCACCGGGCTCCAGCCCGCTCCAGCTCCAGCCCCCAGCTCCACTGTTCTAGCTCGCTCTGCCTCCAGCCCCCTGAGCTGCTTCTCTGGCCCCTCTGGCTTTGGGTCCGCAGCCCTGCTCCCAGCACAGGATCTGCTCTCCCTGGGCTGTGTCTCGGTGACTCTGCTCCCAGCTCTGACCTGCTTCCTGGGCTGCTTTTCTGGCCCCGCTGGATCTGGCCCAGCTCTGCTCCCCAGCTCAGCTTGGGCCCCTGCTTTCTGCTTAGCTGGGCCCCACTCTGTCTGACCCAGGCAAATCCAGCTCACGGGAAGGAGGGAGGACGGGACCCCCCTGGCCTCCTGACTCCCTGATTAGCCTGCCCACCCTGTCAATCAGGCTGACCTGGAGCACTGGCCTTCCCCATTGTTCCTGAGGACTGTCAGTTTCAGGGTCCTGATTTCCCAGGGACCCTTCCCCTTTCTTTTAGTGCTGGGAGCTAGCAACCAAAGCAGCCACCACTGAGCGTTAGTGAGGGGCCAAGAGTCCCCTTACACTGAGCAGCAAGGACACGGCCCCAGATCTGGGCTCTGCTCCTGTTCCCTGTTTGGGAAGGGGCGGGGCTCGGGGGAGGGGAACTCCTGTGATTTAGGAGAATCCAGCCCCTTGGCCCCGCGCCCAGGGACTCCCCCTCCTCCTCCGGGCTGCTGGTGACAGCGTAACAGTGACGGACCCGCCGCCTCCCGCCCTGAGCCCCCCGCAGCTTTCACCGACCCTCAGACTTGGCCATGGCGCTCCCGCGGGGGGGACACACGCCGGGGGCTGGAACCAGCCCCTGGGGCAGCCCCGGGCTCTGCCGACACCAGCCCCTGAGCCGGAGCCTGCAGCGGAGGGGAGAGACCCGGGGAAAGGGCCGGGGCCGGGCAGGAAAGTGGCTCTGTATGAAGGGCCCCCCCTCTGCTCCCGGGAGGTCTGCGAGTCCCAGAGCTGTTGCCGGCCCTGGACCCCCCCCCCCCCCAGCTCTGCTCCCCTGAGCAGTGTTTCTATATCCTGGGAAATGTCCCCAAATCTGGGAATGTTTGAGTAAAATGTTTTGAATGAAAATTCCCAATTTCCCAAGTTGAAACATTTTACTCAAACATTCCCAGATTTGGGGACATTTCCCAGGATATAGAAGCTCTGCTGGGAATTTTTCACCAGATTCAGGAAATCTTTAGCCCTAGCTTGGGAAAAGTTGGCACCAGGATACAGAAGCACTTGGGCGCCTGCAGGAGCCGAGCCAGCTACAGCCGGGCGGTTCCTGAGTCCTCCCCTTGATCCGCTGTTGCTTCCCACCCCGCCCCACTCAGTCGCTCCGGATTTCAGCTCCCTCCCCCACTCAGCATCCCCCCCCCCTCCACCCAGGGCGGGGGGGGGGGGGCGTGACCTGGCTGGTGCTTTTTGCTGCTGCTGCTTCGTTTCCCCCGCCGGACAGGGCTGTGGGGACGGGGCTGGGCGGGGGAATTACTGAGAGCCCAGCGATCCCTGGGGGGCAGGAACAGCGGGGGGGGGCATTGACACCCCGACACTGGCTCCCCCTCCGAACTGCCCCCGCCAGGCCCAACCCCGCCAGCTCCGAGCCCGGCGGGGGGGGGGAAGGGGGCTGGGACTTTCAGAGCAATTTGCTCCGCCCCAACCAGCCCGGGCCACTGACCATTACTTTCACTTCCAGCTACTTTGGTACTTTCAGTTTTGAAGCGGGGGGAGGCCAAGGCGGGGGAGCAGGGGGGCTCGGCCCCGTCAATTCAGCTACAAATTCACACAAATAATGAGGGCGGGTCCGGTCTCAAACCCTCCGGCTCCGGCTCCGTGACCCCGTGTGCGGATCCGGGGCTGCAGCCTCGGTGAGTGACCTGGGTGCGGGTCGGACCAGCGCAGCTCGGGCCAGCCCGCATGGGAGGCATGGGGAGGGGCTGACGCCAGACCTGGGTTGGGGGAGTGCAGGGCTCAGGCCAGCTCTGAGCGATAGGGTGGGGGGGCCTCGGGCTAGCCCCAGGGGGTGTCCCGTTTGCCCTTTGAGGAAATATGGTCACCCTAGGCAGAGCGCCCATGGAGATGAACGGGGCAGGCGTCTTCCGACAGCCGGGCCGGACCAGGGGGCCAGGTGCGGGGAGGCCGGGTGCTCCCCCGTCCAGGGAGCCCTGTGACCGGAGGCACCTTTTCTGCTCTGCCCTGCCCTGACACACCCCACCAAAGCCCCGGGGGCCCAGACACAGCCCCTCCCAGCGGGGCAGGGATCACACCAACCCCGCACCCACCCCTGGGGGGCTGCGGCCAGACACAGCTGGGGCGGGTCGGGGGAGTGCAGCACCTTGGCACTTACGGTTGCCACGTGTCCAGTTTTCAACCAAACACCCAGTCGAAAAGGGACCCTCCCTAGCCCGGTTAAAATTAGCGTGTGAGTGAGGGTGGGGGAAAGCGAGCAATGGGGGGAGGATGGAGTGAGTGGGGGGACCTCGGAGAAGGGGTGGGGCAAGGGTGTTCGGTTTTGTTCTGTCCGAAAGTTGGCAAGAGTCCCAGCCCACAGTTGGAGCCTGCCCAGGGGATGGCCGGGGGAGCAGGAGCTGCGGGGAGGGGCAGGGGTAGGGACCGGACACACAGAGTGACACCGGACAGGCTCCAGCCCAGCGCATAGACCCCTGAGCCTCTCCCGCAAGGGCCCGGCTGTGCCCAGACCCCCAGTCACCAGAGGCTGGTTTCTCCTGCTCTCCCTCCATGGGGAGCAGCTCAGAGCTCCCAGCACATGGGCAAAGTGACCAGCCAGGGATAGAGACACCAGCGAGGAAGAGACATGCACAAGGTCCCCTGGCAGTGCCTTTCAACCCCACCCCAGCCACCTGCCAGGACACGGGATAAGTCACGCCTGGGTGGGGGATGGGGAGAGGCCATAGGTGCTAACTTTTGGTTTTGCCAGCAAGTGCCCTATCCCGGCCCCACCCCCTCCCCCGAGACTCCGCCCCCCTACTCCACCCCCCTACTCCAACTCTTCCCACCCCCACTCTGCCCCTCCTCCTAGGTCCCTTCCCTTCCCCTGAGTTGAGAAGCTGCCCATCCAGGATGTGAGGCATAAACAGACTAAACAGTAGCTTAGGGCCCAGAGCAGCTCAGGGTCCATGATTTGTGGAAATAATGCAGTTAGAATTCTCAGAGGTGGGTCAGGGCCACCCCCCACAATTCCTGCTTAGGGCACCCAATGGGGTAGCTCTGGCTCTGTTTGCAGCTCTTCCTATCAGCATTTATTGTTGTAGGCTATTGTGATATTTTATTAATGTTGCTCACTTCTCACAGCTCAGCTCACAATTCAGGGACATTTTTACCCCAATTATCACAACATTCCCCGGTGATGGGATTTAGCATTTTTCCAAGATCCCAGAGAATTCAGCAGGTTTGTTTCATGCAGCCAGGCACCATCTTGCTTTTTTGTTTCCCTGGCTTGCTGGCACCTGTTTCCTGGAGAAGAGCAGAGCAGCTGGGGCCCAGCAGAGGAGTATCTGAGCCAGGCTGTCTGAACAACATTGCAGGAGCTGAGGCCCAAAGGGTGGGGCTGGGCCACCTGGAGAGCATAGCAACAAACCCTATCCCCCCAATAGTCATTGGTTAATTTTGCATCGATGAGTATTTTCAGCCACGAATCCTGCATGTGTTTGGAGGGTGGGGCTGGGAATGAGGAATATTTCAGGGCACTAGAGTGAATTAACATGGCCACCGAGTCTAGCAGCTGCTGATGCAGACTTTGGCCCCATTCTTTACACAGGGCTGAGGTGATGACAGCGACTCCCGGAGCACAAGAAAACAGCCTGCAGAACTGACTGTGTCCCCAGGCGAAGTTAAGAGCTGAGGCTGCTGGCACCGAAGCTGCCCTCTCCCTAGCACTGTGGGTGTGTCAGAGGAATTTGATCTTTGTGCCATAACCGTCCAGAGGAGGAGCCAGTCACAGTCACGTTCCTGCCTCTCTCCTTCTTTCGGTTTTGAAGCTGGTGGATGTGCCAAGAGAGGACAGTGCTTCCATTACATATAAAATATATTAACTTAATGAAAAGCTCAGGGGCAGGCTGGAGTTAATCCCTGTGGCTCCCTGACCCCTCCGTCAGGATGGATGATACAGTCTGGGAAAGGGACACAGTCACTGGGAGCAGGAGCTCTCCCTAGAGAGAATGGCTCTGGGTGCTAGCGAAGCTGAGAGATTGGAACGGCTCAGAAACGACTCCACAGGACTCCGCAGGTAGGGGATTCACTCACTGTAACCCCAGCTGAATTGCTCCCTTGGTATTTCCTGACTCATGGTGCTGATTAGTCAGAGGAGCTGCTGCTATGAAAGGGCCTCCTTCCTGGGATTTGGGGGATAAAGTGTCACTTTCCCACAGGGAACTCAGCTGTGGCTGTAGAGATGCCCACACAGATTCAGAGACCTGTCCAGTGACTTCTCCACTGCCAGGTTCACGGCTGTTTGCTGTTCTGCTCCATTTACAGACAGCTGTAGGAACCGATCGCCGGTTGTAATTTTCCGGGGGGGCAGTGTTGGGAGTGTGCAGGTGTTTTTATCATCAGCTCACCACCATGAAGCTCCAGAGCAAGAGGGTGAAAGATGGAGGAGAAACACCTGGGGCCAGCTTGGATGAAATTGATGCAGGGAGGGGGAGATTTTCTAAAGCTTCTAAGGGTATGTCTACACTACGGAATAAGGTCGAATTTATAGAAGTCGTTTTTTTAGAAATCGGTTTTATATATTCGAGTGTGTGTGTCCCCACAGAAAATGCTCTAAGTGCATTAAGTGCATTAACTCGGCGGAGCGCTTCCACAGTACCGAGGCTAGAGTCGACTTCCGGAGCGTTGCACTGTGGGTAGCTATCCCACAGTTCCCGCAGTCTCCGCTGCCCATTGGAATTCTGGGTTGAGATCCCAATGCCTGATGGGGCTAAAACATTGTCGCGGGTGGTTCTGGGTACGTATCGTCAGGCCCCCGTTCCCTCCCTCCCTCCGTGAAAGCAAGGGCAGACAATCATTTCGCGCCTTTTTTCCTGAGTTACCTGTGCAGACGCCATACCACGGCAAGCATGGAGCCCGCTCAGGTAACCGTCACCCTATGTCTCATGGGTGCTGGCAGACGCGGTACAGCTTTGCTGCACAGTAGCAGCAACCCATTGCCTTCTGGCAGCAGACGGTGCAATACGACTGGTAGTCATCCTCGTCGTGTCCAAGGTGCTCCTGGCCACGTCGGCTGGGAGCGCCTGGGCAGACATGGGCGCAGGGACTAAATTTGCAGTGACTTGACCAGGTCATTCTCTTTAGTCCTGCAGTCAGTCCTATTGAACCGTCTTATGGTGAGCGGGCAGGCGATACGGACTGCTAGCAGTCGTACTGTACCATCTTCTGCCAGACAGGCAAGAGATGAGGATTGCTAGTAGTCGTATTGTACCATCTTCTGCCAGGCAGGCAAGAGATGAGGATGGCTAGCAGTCGTACTGTACCATCTTCTGCCGAGCAGCCATGAGATGTGGATGGCATGCAGTCCTTCTGCACCGTCTGCTGCCAGCCAAAGATGTAAAAGATAGATGGAGTGGGTCAAAACAAGAAATAGACCAGATTTGTTTTGTACTCATTTGCCTCCTCCCCTGTCTAGGGGACTCATTCCTCTAGGTCACACTGCAGTCACTCACAGAGAAGGTGCAGCGAGGTAAATCTAGCCATGTATCAATCAGAGGCCAGGCTAACCTCCTTGTTCCAATAAGAACGATAACTTAGGTGCACCATTTCTTATTGGAACCCTCCGTGAAGTCCTGCCTGAAATACTCCTTGATGTACAGCCACCCCCTTTGTTGATTTTAGCTCCCTGAAGCCAACCCTGTAAGCCGTGTCGTCAGTCGCCCCTCCCTCCGTCAGAGCAACGGCAGACAATCATTCCGCGCCTTTTTTCTGTGCGGACGCCATACCAAGGCAAGCATGGAGGCCGCTCAGCTCACTTTGGCAATTAGGAGCACATTAAACACCACACGCATTATCCAGCAGTATATGCAGCACCAGAACCTGGCAAAGCGATACCGGGCGAGGAGGCGACGTCAGCGCGGTCACGTGAGTGATCAGGACATGGACACAGATTTCTCTGAAAGCATGGGCCCTGCCAATGCATGCATCATGGTGCTAATGGGGCAGGTTCATGCTGTGGAACGCCGATTCTGGGCTCGGGAAACAAGCACAGACTGGTGGGACCGCATAGTGTTGCAGGTCTGGGACGATTCCCAGTGGCTGCGAAACTTTTGCATGCGTAAGGGCACTTTCATAGAACTTTGTGACTTGCTTTCCCCTGCCCTGAGGCACATGAATACCAAGATGAGAGCAGCCCTCACAGTTGAGAAGTGAGTGGCGATAGCCCTGTGGAAGCTTGCAACGCCAGACAGCTACCGGTCAGTTGGGAATCAATTTGGAGTGGGCAAATCTACTGTGGGGGCTGCTGTGATGCAAGTAGCCCACGCAATCAAAGATCTGCTGATATCAAGGGTAGTGACCCTGGGAAATGTGCAGGTCATAGTGGATGGCTTTGCTGCAATGGGATTCCCTAACTGTGGTGGGGCTATAGACGGAACCCATATCTCTATCTTGGCACCGGAGCACCAAGCCGCCGAGTACATAAACCGCAAGGGGTACTTTTCGATAGTGCTGCAAGCTCTGGTGGATCACAAGGGACGTTTCACCAACATCAACGTGGGATGGCCGGGAAAGGTGCATGATGCTCGCATCTTCAGGAACTCTGGTCTGTTTCAAAAGCTGCAGGAAGGGACTTTATTCCCAGACCAGAAAATAACTGTTGGGGATGTTGAAATGCCTATATGTATCCTTGGGGACCCAGCCTACCCCTTAATGCCATGGCTCATGAAGCCGTACACAGGCAGCCTGGACAGTAGTCAGGAGCTGTTCAACTACAGGCTGAGCAAGTGCAGAATGGTGGTAGAATGTGCATTTGGACGTTTAAAGGCGCGGTGGCGCAGTTTACTGACTCGCTTAGACCTCAGCGAAACCAATATTCCCACTGCTATTACTGCTTGCTGTGTGCTCCACAATATCTGTGAGAGTAAGGGGGAGACGGTTTATGGCGGGGTGGGAGGTTGAGGCAAATCGCCTGGCTGCTGGTTACGCGCAACCAGACACCAGGGCGGTTAGAAGAGCACAGGAGGGCGCGGTACGCATCAGAGAAGCTTTGAAAACCAGTTTCATGACTGGACAGGCTACGGTGTGAAAGTTCTGTTTGTTTCTCCTTGATGAAACCCCCCGCCCCTTGGTTCACTCTACGTCCCTGTAAGCTAACCACCCGCCCCTCCTCCCTTCAATCACCACTTGCAGAGGCAATAAAGTCATTGTTGCTTCACATTCATGCATTCTTTATTCAGTCATCACACAAATAGGGGGATGACTACCAAGGTAGCCCAGGAGGGGTGGTGGAGGAGGGAAGGAAAATGCCACACAGCACTTTAAGCACAGCACTTTAAAAGTTTACAACTTTAAAATTTATTGAATGACAGCCTTCTTTTTTTTGGGCAATCCTCTGTGGTGGAGTGGCTGGTTGGCCGGAGTGGTGGAGTGGCTGGTTGGCCGGAGGCCCCCCCACCGCGTTCTTGGGCGTCTGGGTGTGGAGGCTATGGAACTTGGGGAGGAGGGCGGTTGGTTACAGAGGGGCAGCAGTGGCAGTCTGTGCTCCAGCTGCCTTTGCTGCAGCTCAACCATACACTGGAGCATACTGGTTTGGTCCTGCAGCAGCCTCAGCATTGAATCCTGCCTCCTCTCATCACGCTGCCGCCACATTTGAGCCTCCTTCAGCCCGCCACTCTCTCTTCAGCCCGCCACTTACTCTCTTCAGCCCGCCCCTTCTCTCTTCAGCCCGCCACTTACTCTCTTCAGCCCGCCACCTCTCCTCCCGGTCATTTTGTGCTTTCCTGCACTCTGACATTATTTGCCTCCACGCATTCGTCTGTGCTCTGTCAGTGTGGGAGGACAGCATGAGCTCGGAGAACATTTCAGCGCGAGTGCGTTTTTTTTTCTTTCTAAGCTTCACTAGCCTCTGGGAAGGAGAAGATCCTGTGATCATTGAAACACATGCAGCTGGTGGAGAAAAAAAAAAGGGACAGCGGTATTTAAAGAGACACATTTTATAAAACAGTGGCTACACTCTTTCAGGGTAAACCTTGCTGTTAACATTACATACATAGCACATGTGCTTTCGTTACAAGGTCGCATTTTGCCTCCTCCCACCGCGTGACTACCCCCTCAACCTTCCCCCCTCCCTGTGGCTAACAGCGGGGAACATTTCTGTTTAGCCACAGGCAAACAGCCCAGCAGGAATGGGCTCCTCTGAGTGTCCCCTGAAGAAAAGCACTCTATTTCAACCAGGTGACCATGAATTATATCTCACTCTCCTGAGGATAACACAGAGAGATAAAGAACGGATGTTGTTTGAATGCCAGCAAACATACACTGCAATGCTTTGTTCTACAATGATTCCCGAGTACGTGTTACTGGCCTGGAGTGGTAAAGTGTCCTACCATGAAGGACGCAATAAGGCTGCCCTCCCCAGAAACCTTTTGCAAAGGCTTTAGGACTACATCTAGGAGAACCGCAAATGCCAGGGCAAAGTAATCCTTTCACATGCTTGCTTTTAAACCATGTATAGTATTTTAAAAGGTACACGCACCAGAGGTCCCTTCTCCGCCTGCGGGGTCCAGGAGGCAGCCTTGGGTGGGTTCGGGGGGTACTGGCTCCAGGTCTAGGGTGAGAAACAGTTCCTGGCTGTCGGGAAAACCGGTTTCTCCGCTTGCTTGCTGTGAGCTATCTACAACCTCCTCCTCATCATCATCTTCTTCGTCCCCAAAACCTGCTTCCGTATTGCCTCCATCTCCATTGAAGGAGTCAAACAACACGGCTGGGGTAGTGGTGGCTGAACCCCCTAAAATGGCATGCAGCTCATCATAGAAGCGGCATGTTTGGGGCTCTGACCCAGAGCGGCTGTTCGCCTCTCTGGTTTTCTGGTAGGCTTGCCTCAGCTCCTTCAGTTTCACGCGGCACTGCTTCGGGTCCCTGTTATGGCCTCTGTCCTTCATGCCCTGGGAGATTTTCAGAAAGGTTTTGGCATTTCGAAAACTGGAACGGAGTTCTGATAGCACGGATTCCTCTCCCCAAACAGCGATCAGATCCCATACCTCCCGTTCGGTCCATGCTGGAGCTCTTTTGCGATTC